AAAATATGAAAATTCAAATCTACATTACCGACCAGCGATYATACCGACATAACCTCTCTTAACGAAGCGTGGTTRTAGCTGTAATCTGTAGCGGCAGAATTTTTGTAATTCATTTTTGAAAATGGGTAAAGTGTGTTTTTTATGCGGTTTTAGACCATCTAAACGAGTTCATGACGCCSMAAAAATTCAGCAGCGTTCCTTGCATAGGTATGATTACAAATTTTAATTTGGAGACATGCCTTAATATTAATTATTATTTTTCAGTTTACCAGCGAGAGAAGAAACACGTTTCTTATGGATCAAAGTTTGTGGTTTGGAAGGAATGGTAGATGAGTATCCTCATTTGCGTATATGTTCTGCACATTTCACCAGTGAAGATTACATTGATCCTAAAGCAAAAGAAAAAGGAGGTCGGAGTTTGTTTTTAAAACCAAATGCAGTACCTTCAGTGTTGGTGCCACATCCTATGGATCCAGTTCTGATATGTGAACCTACTACTAGTACCACAGAGGAATTAGTGTTGCCACTAGTTTCAACTGAATTGATCAATTCAYAGTCTGAAACCGCAGCATCTCAGCAGTTAACACATGCAATGAGTCCACAGCGTCAACCTGAATCTACTAGTCAGATCTGTACAAATACTTCTCCAGGATGCGCTCATGTCAATGGTAAAAATTGTGACTTTTGTTACTAATGAATTTTAAAATTTAAGTTTCGTATTGTATTTTAGTTGAAACTCCCAAAAAGAGACGATTTGCTGAACCTCGTTATGTGAATGAAATATCTCCATCAGATTTTGCAACTCCTCGAAGAATTAAAAGAACTCTGTTTCTAGTGAAGTCAGAATGTGATAAGAAAAGCAGGGAAATCAAGCGTTTGCAGGATAAAAATCGATATCTTCAGAAAAGAATTATGTCTTTGAAAGATTTGGTTAAGCATCTGCAAAAAAAAGGTTTGATGACAGAAGAAGCAGGAGACAATTTAATGGTACATATAAATCAATTAATTCATCTATTTGATAACAAACATAAAATTCTCCAATTCTCAACCAACAAATAGTTCATAACATTAACATTTATTTTTCTAAGGTATTTTAGTGTTGTTTATAAAATACTGTCATGATAGTTATATATAGTTATAGTTATATGTTTATCATTATAGTTTAAAATTTACATAGTAAGATGCATATAAAGTTGAAAATTTGGTTGACTGTAATGAGTTTTACCAGGTGAATTAATTAAGCAAATATCAACCAATTTGTAATTTTTTGCTTTTAGGAAATGTTGCCTCAAAATTTACAAGAAGTTGTTACTCGTAAACTCAAGAGTAAGGGACGCTATTCACCTCAGCTCAGAAGTTTTGCGTTGACGCTCCATTTTTATTCGCCGAAGGCCTACAACTACATTAGAAAATGCTGGGATAAATTACTACCTCATCCATCAACTATGAGGCAGTGGTATCGAGTGGTAGATGGGGCACCAGGGTTTACATCTGAGGCTCTACACGCAATTTCATTACGGTCCGCTGGATCCAAGCCCACTATTTGCAATTTAGTTGTGGATGAGATTGCTATCAGGGAGCAAATTATTTATGATAAGGATAAGTTTCATGGTGGTGTTGATCTGGGTACAACTTCTGATGTTGTTAATGATAACGATAACATTACACCTGCGAAAAACGCTTTGGTGTTCATGGCAGTAAGTTTAAATAGCCATTGGAAGATTCCAATTGGTTACTTTTTAATCAAGAGCCTAAATGGTACAGAAAGGGCAAATTTATTAAAAAAAGCATTAGAATTATTGTCTGCAGCGGGTGCTCATGTTTATTCTCTAACTTTTGATGGTGCCTCCACAAATTTAAGTATGTGCACTATTTTAGGAGCAAATTTTGATTATTATAGTCCCGATTTTAAGCCATATTTTGTCAATCATGTTAACAATGAAAAAGTTTTTATTTTTTTGGATTTAGTTCATATGATAAAATTAGTTCGAAATACTCTAGGGGACAAAAAAATTCTTAAAAGTAAGTCAGGGGATCTATTCAAATGGGAGTATATAGAAAAATTACACCAATACCAAACCACGCACGGACTACGAGCCGCCAATAAATTAACGCAAAAACATATTAACTTCTCTGACAACAGGATGAACGTCAGATTAGCAATGCAGACTCTCAGCGAAAGCGTATTCAAGTCATTGTATTTCCTAAATGAACTTGATGATGAAGAAGCGAAACAGAATTTTGAAGGATGTTTGCCGACTGCAAACTTTTGTTTGCAATTTAATAATATTTCGGACATTTTAAATTGCAAAAATAATTTTGCTAAAGGTCAGTTTAACCGACCTTTAAACCGGGAAACGTATGCTTCTTTAAAAGAGTCTGCTATTGCTTTTGAAAAATATATCGCTTCTTTGCGAGATGTGGATAATGTTCCTATTTTAAAAACAATGCGGAAAACTGGATTTTTGGGGTTAATTGTTGGTCTACGAAATATGTTTGAATTATATGATCAATTAATCAAATTGAACCAATCGTATCTCCTGACCTACAAATTGTCACAGGACTACTTGGAAACCTTTTTCAGTGCCATCCGTAGCCGTGGTGGGTTTAATAATAATCCTAATGTAATTCAGTTCAAATCAGCATACAAACGGCTTCTCATTAGGCATGAAATAAAAGAAATTGAGAATGGAAATTGCCTATTTGATAATATCGAAATTTTGCATGTTTCCTCAAAAAAGGAAAGACTTAGAAATCCCATAATTAATGACGAACTTCTCGAAAATGTGGAAATGGATTTTGCCCATGATTATATAAAAACCTTTTGGCAATTATCGCCTTTTGTTGAGGAGGTTACAAAATACATTGCGGGATTTGTAACTAGCAAAATAATTTCTATCATGAATTGTGTTATATGCAAAAAACAATTGATTGGAAAAAATATGCCTTTACTTAGTAAGATAAAGGACTGGGGGTCATATGTAGCACCCTCTGCAGATACTATTTCTTTATGTCTTGTGGCTGAAAAAATTGTTCGACAATATAAACATTGTAACAAACCAAATTTAAAAAAGGAAATTTGCAACAAAATTGCCCAATCTGTTGGCCTCATGTTTAAAAACGAAGAGATGGAAGTGCACGTAAAAACACAAGATTATTTAGATAATCATCGTTTTCAGCTTGTTAAATTRATTATTGRATTATATGTCGATACAAGACTTTTYCATGAGTCAAAATTATATTCGGCTAAGAGAGAATATGTTAGGCACAAATTTACAAAACTGGTGTTATTTAATCATGAATAATAAAAAATATTGTAAAATTGACGTTTTTGTTTATTTTTGAAATACTTTTTTCTCGTCTTATTTTTTTGTTAAATTCTATCCCCATTGAGTCAGTTATAAGATATGTTAAATTGAACTATTTTGATGACGTAAACTGAATCGAAAAACAGCTTAATTTTATTTGAATCGAAATAATTTCGCGCTTTCTACAAGAACTTTTTGACCGGCGCAGTTACGTTTCATGCCAACAGAGATAAAACATGGCATCTTCTATCTCCCTTTCTCCATGAAAACTAGTTCCGTATGATTTTGACACAACTCGCAATATAGGAGTATTATATATATGGGTGATACACAGACCCTCTGACTCATCTCAAACTTTTTCTCTGAAAACGTTGACAACGGGTTCAGCTGTGTCCGCTTTGCATTGTCAAACGTAAAATTATTCGTAAATTAAAATTTAATTTAAATTAGATGCGCTTTTAATCGACATTAATTAATTAATCGAGTCATGATTTTAATTTCAAGCAAATATGAGAAAAAAACTAGTCAAAACGGGAAGTCTCTTCTGAAGTCCCCAAATATTTGGCAGTTTTCAGGTCCAATAAAAATTCATCCGTTTAGGGAACTTTACAAATTTACCAGACCGAGTAGTACGATACGAGTATCTGTCTTAATCCTTTGTCGCCTAATGGAAGGAAAACATTTATTATGTAAATTACTACACTTTTTCAAAAAACTGAATGATAAATGATAAAGTAGTAAAACTGAAGATTCCCATTTTTTGATTTTAATCGATAGCTTTTGAAATAAGTAAAAACTTGTTAATTCTTTACATAAAGGCGGATTTAGGTAAAGAATTGAAAATTAACAGTGATTTCAATATATTCCAGGAAAAATTTGTCGTTGAGAGTGTTGTTTGCCTAAGACATTTTATGTTTATTATCGGGATTCTAATACACAAGGCAAAAAGGTTTCAGGACAATAACACCCTTAAGGACAAATTTTTTCCTGGGATAAACCCAACTCAGCGGCATAATTAGAGCCACCCTATAAATTTAAACCGCACTCCTTGACTTGGAATATTAGGAATTGTTGTAAAAAATTTATTTGATTGAAAATGAAGCCACAACTCGAATTCTGTGAAAAATCACATGAAACCTTTTACTGTTGATAAATAGTAAGCAACCCTTAACTTCTACATTAATTAATAAATTTATTGGTAAATAAAACAATAAATTAATTATTTTGTGAAATGGTGACTTTGGACATCCAAACCATGTATCAGATCAATTTTTAATTTTAAAGAAACGTTTCAAATATTATTTTATTCCTTTCAAAATAAGTCAAATGCGATAAGTGATTACTCATAGTCAAAATTCTTAATAATTTGAGCAAACGATTTATCAATTTTCGTCAACTCTCCATCGACCTATACCAATGGCGGAAAACCGACAACTGCCGACCATCGGCTCCATCCCATCTGAAACGGTCGAACGTGCCTACTCGAGAGCCGAGTTTTGTGTCATTACTTCTGAAGCAGATTGTACACATTTATGTGAAAAAATAATTGTTAAGGAAGATTGAGGTAGGATTATTTGAATTTTCGCATGGTTGCCACTTAAAATGATCCCTTTCAAGGACTACTTCAATGCACATTAATATGAAAACGAGTATAGTTCTTCTTTATAAATTTCAAATAAAAATGTTGTTTAGAAAAGCGACGAATTGGAGTTTGATGAAATCGAAATCAAGGTTTGGCGAGTGTTGCGGGGCCATGGGGGCAACGTAATTTGTGTGAGATTTTCGCCAAATGTGAGCGAAATTATATGTTCGACAGCTACGGATCGACAAGCTAGAATTTGGTCGGTCTATAGCGCTGAATGTCTTTATGTCCTCGATCATGATTCGATCGTTACAGCTTGTGCTTTCAGCAGTGATTGTTCCTTAGTTGCTACAGGTTGCATAGATAAAACTTTATGGCTGTGGAAGATGCCTCAGCAATTGGTTTGGTTCACTCAACTCCACTAAACCTTATTTTTACCTACTGAATTTCAGGTGTTTAGGACGATAGTTGCGACAAAAATCCAGTGCCGGACTAAAGCTCTAATCGACTGGTCCACCAGCGACGTCATCAAATGGCTCAAAAACATGGATTTGGGAGATGTGGTCGAAAATGCGCAAAATACGTCCCTGGATGGGCAGAAAATTTTGACACTTAGTGAAGAGCAAATTTGCTCGGGTCTAGAATTAAGTAAGTTGTTTAATTTTTTTCGGTATTGTTTATTTTTTCTGGTAGGTGAAGAACAAGCCCAGAGACTGAGTCGAGAGCTCCGCTGGTTGAAACAAGACGAGCTCCAAATTTCACAAACGAAAAATTGCGAAATTCCGCACGAATTTTTGTGTCCCATCACCCATGAAATAATGAGAGAACCGGTTACATGCAGTGATGGTTTCACGTATGAAAAAAATGCAATTTGTGAATGGTTCATGTCTGGAAAGTATTCAAGTCCTTTAACTAACGAAATTTTAACGAACACCGAATACACTTACAATCACGAGTTGAGAAATTCGATACATTCGTTTTTGGAGCAAGATGATTAAACACCAGGGGACATATCACCAAAATTGCTGTAGTGCCTTAGGTCTATCTGCAGTGCCACGAAAACTTCATTTGCTGCATTATCAAATTTTCATTTTTTTCAATTCTTATGAGAACAAAAAATTGTAGTGCTTTTATATTCCCCAAGTTAACTTTTTATATTTTTCGACGACACTACTTGGTGTTTGATTGCGATTTCAGAGGAACTAAAGTAGGTACAATCAGCGTAGAAAAGATTGTCCTCCTAATAAACCACAACAATAAATCTTTTCTATTGTAAACGTCATTTCTTATTCAACAGCATATTTAGTTTGAAGTGAAGCTTAGTTGAGTAAGTGACAATTTATTTTAAAAAATTTACAACTTTATACTGTAACTAAAAATTAAATTAAAAATAATTATAATTGATGATTAGCTATTTATTTACCAAGATAACAAGTAAATGCCGTTTTAAATGGCAAAATTAAATAAACAATATTATTATTAGAAGTACCTAATAAAAACCATCTA